ATCATTCCCGTAACCATCCAACACAAACAATAGATGAGACCATAATTTAATTTGGTTGCCAATAGTAGCATTGCGAAATATGCTAGGACATAGAGTTGCATCTCAGCCGATATAAACCAGGTCGATGATGCACACTTTGAATTAAAGTATTATATATTTTAATAATTATTTGTAAATGCTTCGTTTTTAAATGTAAGGTCAAAAATTAATAAAATTCAATTAATCAATTAAATATCAAATACTTACTGATTCAGTAACTGGAAACCAATTACTTATAAAAATGAGATTTTTCCACAGATTTCTGTCACAGTTTATTATTTGTTCGCTATAATAGTACTTATACGCCGGCCCTGAGCCCAGGTATGCGAACAGTATGTTAAAGGCAATTGTAATCAGATAGACAGGAACAACACTTTAATAATCAGAAAAAGTACAATAATTTATTATTTAATCCGTTATTTTAATAAAACCAAAAGTCTTACCGAAAGAGTCGACCAAACATATAGAGCCCAAAGGGAACTCCCCGTCCGCTCTCGAAATATTTCAGACCAGAAATAGCTGTCAGAGTTCCGCTATTTTAATAAAAAATATTAAATTATTTTTAATAACATTTAAGTGCTATTAAATTAAACCTCATGTAAAATATAAGTTCAATAAAAACGGCTGAATTCATCATTATTTGTGATATAAAATCTGTGCTCATTCTTAACAGCATTCCGACTTTATCTGTAATTTAAATTAGCGTACATTTTCATAGTTACAAGTGTAATTATTAATTATTAATTTACATACAAATTGTAAGTGGAAACACTAATAATCCACCCAATAATAATTTATTATTTAATTCTTTATTTTAATAAAAGCAAAAGTCTTACCGAAAGAGTCGACCAAACATATAGAGCCCAAAGGGAACTCCCCGTCCGCTCTCGAAATATTTCAGACCAGAAATAGCTGTCAGAGTTCCGCTATTTTAATAAAAAATATTAAATTATTTTTAATAACATTTAAGTGCTATTATATTAAACCTCATGTAAAATATAAGTTCAATAAAAACGGCTGAATTCATCATTATTTGTGATATAAAATCCGCGCCCATTTTTAACAGCACTCCGTGTTTGTCTGTAATTTAAATTAGTGTACATTTTTATATATAATGTTACTTCATAGTTAGAAACTAAATTATTAGATTAAATTATTAATTTACATACAAATTGTAAGTGGAAACACTAATAATCCACCCAATGATATGTGACTAAATATAATATATATTAAAACAAATATCTTCAAGAAGTCAAAGAATCTTAAATCATAAGATTTTTCTCGTTTTATTGTACTCTCACTGAAGAAATCAATTAAATTTCTTTTAGGAGAGAATGACTTTACAATTAGCGCTACTAAAGGATTCAAAAAGTTTAGTAGAAGTGAAAATGTTTTTATCAGATATTAACGGCTTTTATAATTGTTTTGGTTACAATAGCTGTGTTTTCTGGATATTATTTTTCTAATTCTAAAATCATAATTGTAATTTAGATATAAAAGAATTACTATAAAAATTTGAAAATTTTAATTAAGTTTATTTGATGTTTTAATGTTTTCATAATAGACACTCCAACTGTTAGCACCGTGTAGAAGGTCAGATACCATCGTTAGTAACGATACTATATGGACTTTAATGTTGAATGACTTAAGCCCTAGAAATAGTATGAATTTATAACAACGTATTTGTTTCAATATTCAAATTACCCTCATCCAAAATTGATTTCAAGTCATTTGGAGTACAGACAGAAGGTATACAAAAGGCATTACTAATGACTGGCGATTTTAAATTAGAAAATGTATTCATAGCCTCTCTATAAACCGTATCATTTGATTGCCTGTGATTCGTGTCAAATGGCAGTTCAAATCTTGGGGTACAATATTGTCCAACAAAACCAATATGACTACCGCTGTCAGGGACCACATCTAGGCATTCATCAAAATCACCTAACGATCCATACGTCCCCTCCATGAAACCACTCGGGAAATGACCCCAAGAGTCAAACACTTATTAATTAAAATTAATAAAAATTGAACAGGTAAGATCATATAAGATATTAAGTATTATAATTACGTTTAATTGCCCACCACTTCATGTTAAGCCCTTCATCGATGGTATAGTGTATTGATTTGAGACAATCGTCTGAAATCCTGTCATCGTTTTCAAGTTTTGCCAAAATTGGCTCTAATTTATCACTAATAATATCAATTAAAAACTTTATGTTCGTCTCAAATAATGTCTTATTGTTTGCATTATCATCAGAATTGCATAATAATACAAATACCAAGATAATAATTATTTTCAACATCCTTTGAACTGAACGTGTATGTAAAATAATATTTATTTGATTTGTTGTATTAAACTAAATCAAAATAAGACGGGACTAAAAATAGATAATTTAACATAAGTATTACATAATTGTTTTCAAGATTTTATATATTACTTACAGCTTTGAAAAACAATTTCTCAATTAGTTTTAAGAGTACAGGGTAAGACAAAAATCTACCGGAAAATTGATAAAAAGAGATTCAATTATATCTAATTTATATATTTGAGTAATTATTGTTATATTTATATTATAAACCAAATACAGTACATAAATTATATAAATGTATGATATTCAAATTATTATTTATCTTATTTCCAATAGGTATCTACGAATACTTCCAGTGCTGATCGGAGGCATTTTTTTATCATTTCTATTTCAACATTTAAAAGTTTGAACATTTGAATTTATATAATACAGTCAATTAATATATAAAAGCTTTGACAAAACTGCGTGGACAAGATATCTTAAGATCTAGTAGTGTTAGAGTTGAACTAGATCAATTAAAATTTTATGAGAAACATGGATTTTTAGCACCAACATGTTGATATGCCACATTTGTCCCTCATCAAAATGGGTTTGCATGGGACAGGGATCATCGATTTCACAAAAACTATAAGTGATAATCGAGTTCTGATTTTTGGAAATGATGCGCGAGATCATTTCTAGAAAAGTAATTTCTGGATTTGTCGAAATTCTTCTTCGTTGATTTTTAATAATTCTATAAATGTCAAAAAATGACATTTTTAGGCTTATTTTTCTCAGCAATGGCTGAATGTATCGGGGTAGTCTCAACTGTGTTCGAATG